AAAATGATAGATTCAACATGATGATTTCACGTTGAAGATTGGAATAGAATCCAATGAAATACAATGAATACAAAGTGCTCTATTTATAGACTAAAAAACTAACTAACTAACTGCATAAAAGTATCTAGAATGAAGAACTAAACTGGATATTCTAATAAACCATTAATATCATAACAAGACCACTGCCAAGGAGATATGGGTTGCATTGGAGGCTAAGTATATGCGGGACAACGCTACAAGTAAGAAATTCCTAGCCTCTAAATATTTTTCTTATAATGGTGATAACATAAAGGTAGTTGAACAGTTTCAAGACAAACAAGCAGATTCCGTAATAATAAAAGACATGAAAATAAAGATATAAATTACTTTTACACAGATGGTAGGAACAAAAGAAGTTTAAAATAGAAATTGTAGAATGAAACTTAAAATGGAGATTAAATTAACATCTAACTTTAACCGTTTACACTTTAAAAAAGTTAGAATTTGAAAAATAAAGTGATTTGCTACACGTACACTCTAAAGTGTACACCTTGAGTAACATAATGCACAATTGACATTCTGTCACATCAGCCAATGACAGAATGTCACTTGTACATTATGTCACCTAGGGTATACACCTGAGTGTACAGGTAGAATAATCCAAAAATAAACACTCTGAATAAATTTTACCTGAATTTAGAGAGTTTTTTTATTTTTGGAAAAGTTGAAGGAGAAATTGGGAGGAATTTCGTTGCAATCTTCTAATAGAAGTGGATTTTGTCACTTGAATTTGGATTTTCCGTGAAGAAATTAAAAAATTAAGGATTCATAAGTTACACTAATCTCCACGGTCGCATTTAGCATACTAATAGTCTAACGTCATGTCCAATCAGAGTCGAGATAAATCAAGGTCACAAGTTAAGCATCAACATGAGATCAAGTCACTCACATAAAGGTCACAATTGTGACATTTTTACATGTGACTAGAATACTAGATTGCATGCAGTCCATTGGGAAAGAATTGCAATTCAGCATGCATTTTATTCACTATTTTCAATGACTATTAAACTAACAGTCATCTGTTTTCCTTTCAACGTAGACGTACAATGAAATCAAAGAAACAAATAGAAAATGAGTTTTAAGATGATTACTAATAAACGGTCGAGATTAGATAGAACGTTTCGTCGCAAAGATCTCGATGGTTTCTCAGTAAAGCAGAAGGATAAACTTCATCCTTAGATTTTGGTGCAATAGACCATTCGCGTTTCCTTATCTGAATTAAAAAAACATATACATGTAGTAAGTAAATGTTCCTGTACCAACACCGAAATCGAGTCCTCTAAATCATTTCATTGAAAGGTGCGCCTAGATACAGAGCAGTCGATACAATTGTGACGTCGTGCTCTCTCATTCGAGCAGCAAATGTTCCTGTACCAACACCGAAATCAAGTCCTGTTCTTGTCTCCCCTGGTTTGATAGCCAAATCTTGTGTTCTTGCTAGCTGGGCACTCAAAATTCCAGCATTGAGTTTTTCCACCGAACATTTCTACCACTGGGAATCCTCCAAAGGTACTCGTCGATCGGATAAGGCTTCAACTTGAGTTTCGAGGCTCTTGTCAAGCATCTTCTTCCGGGCAATGCTAAATTCGAATCATCTTTGCTCAATGTCATACTTCGTATTCTCTTCCAGTTCCTTCTTCATCGACATGCCCGTTCAATATATATTGATCTTATCGACTCTATTCTCTTTAGGTGATATATACTTCCGAATCTCCTCAACCATGAAACTATTAATCAAAAGATCTTCAACAAGCATCAATTCCCTCGAAAACATCCTCGAACCTCATTGTGCAAGAAACAAACCTGAAGAATAGAAACTAGATAAACTTGATGTGCTTACAATTATAACAAGCAATCCCAAAATAATTTGTTATTCTTCCTAATTTGCACTTTGGAAAGCATGATTTCCCCATATTCATTTAAATTCTCTTAGCCTCATATTTACTGAATCTTCATCTTCTCTTGGTTGAAACTGCATAACTAAAATAGGAATCAAGATATTAAAGGTATTCGAAACGAGCCGAACGAAGAGCTGCCACAAACTTTCAAATTTACAATTTTACAATTACATTAAAGTTTCAATTTCTTTGAGTTTGGCTTGACTTTTTATTGTTCACGGGTTTTTGAATGTGGTTGAAAATTGAGTCCGAGGTTTCATCTAAATATTATATAGTTAATTGGTCTCAAGTGTGGATGCATGAGGAGAGTTTTTACAACTTTATAATTAAATTAATAAATTCTTTTTTTAAAATAAAAATTTTTAGGTTCACTATTTCTTACAAATTAAGCCCTTGTTTGTCTACCATTATTGTGATGAAAATGGTGTAATGAATAGTATATTTTGGAGAATGTGTGGTTGAAATTTAAAGTAACTTTATTGGTATGTGTGTAGAATATTTTATTGGGTGAATGTGTGGTGGAGAATCTTACTGTAGCAAATAACTTTTTGGAATAATGATAGATAAACA